ACTTTGTGCTTCGTTACAATAAATATTGTAAGTTTTTGAATAAGAGTGAATTCATTTCAATGCATGCAGATGTTGATACAACAATAGCTACACACAAACGCACACACATATATCAGTCTAACATTTTGATCTTCCGGACCTTGGTCTCATAAAATGTTCTCTGACTGGACCTCTTTGAATTTTAATTGAATACCCCTGCTTTAGTCTCACGGTTCGATATTTTTTCGATACAAAAAAGAGAAACTTCCATGCCCCTTTTAACTTGTAATTTATTTATATTAATTTTGAACATTTGTTTAACCTCAAAAGTACAGTTTTTAAATTAAACGTTGCTGAAACAGCAAGTTTCTCAGTGGACCTGCGCTCAAAAATGCAGCCTAGGTGGAGTAGTCGAACACAGATCCACTGATCCTTCAACACAGAGCATCTTCAGAAGACAAGTTGATAAAGTAAATTTTAAAAATCTGTATTGTTCGATACGGGTACATGTATTGTTGCACCCCTCATATATCTGCGGGTAAGTCACCGGTCTTCCACCCGGGAGACCCGGGTTCGAATCCAGGCCGGGGCAAACAGTTACAACAGTGAAATTGAGCTATGCAGTGTGGGTCCTTAGGCAAGACCCTTGGAGCTATATGGCCTACTTCATATCATGAGAGACATTGATAAGCGCGACATGCCGGCTCAGACGTCGCCCGGCCAAACAAGGTCTGCGTCAGGTGCTGGGGAACCAGAGCACCTTGATGAAAAATGGGCGACTGGAACAAGACGGAAATGGGCGAGAGATGAAAACATGGATCTGTTGGAATGCTACTACTCAAGTAACCCTAGCCAGAGGAGCTACCTTGCAACGACTGTGGGAGGAATGGTTACTTCGACATCCCCAGTCTACACTAACTGCCAAACAACTAGTAGCTCAGTGTTCCAACATCCGCAAACGGCAACTGCTGTCACAACTTGAGWTTGAYGAGGTACAACACAAGTGCAAGGGGGAGGAACCAGGACACCAGGTCAGAAGGGAGTTAAGCACAACTACCCGCCCAGAGACTGGTTATGTACAGTATGAACGAACCATCCGAGCTGAACGAGGCAGCAACTGACCTGAGAGAGAGAATCATGGCCCGAATGAACACCAGACAAACCCGATGCCAATTACAACGGCTGAGTGAAGTACCATCAGAAAGTCTCATTGAAGATGTGAATGCAGCATTGAGAACGATCCCTACCAACACCACAACGGAAACCAATGAGCTGATATACAACTCAGCATCAGTGATCCTTGAGATGCTTGGCTATAAAAGCAACCATGAGACCCAATACCCACCATGGAAAAGATCTATCTGCAGATAGAATGATTAAAGTCAGAACAAGATTTGCTAACAACAGTCATTCTTAGATATTACTTGTGTTTATCTTTGTGTTTTCCATTGACTTTGTATCAAATCTTGCTAAGATGACAGAATGGTGTTTGTTAATATATATATATATGAGGCCTCTCAGTGGAGTGGACAGTGTTCAACTGTGAGTAATGTGGAGAGACAGTGACAGAGAGAGGCAGAGGCACAGAGACAGGCCAGGTTGTTCTCTGTGTTTCCTGTTGTTGCAATAAAACTCAGCTGATCATCTCACGGAGTACCTTCATTCTTGGACCACATATTCCTGTCTTTGTTAAATAAGTATTGCCATAACACTAAGTATTCAGAACCCACCTCCATCTGAACCAATCTAAACTTTTTAAGATTAATTTAACTGAACAAAAAAAAAAACATTTTTATTAGAGAACTTACCTTGCTGGGAGTCTTGAGCGGTGAAATGGCAATCTTTTTGCTTGGTAAGCTAGTGTTAAGGGGCTCAGAGAGAGTAATAGTTTTTGATGTCATCACTGGGGAAGTTTGGGTCAGAACACGTCCTGTAAACAAACACAAGATTTTGGAAAGTACCAGCAGATCATAGGTAACTAAAATGTATTTATGTCTGATGCATCTCAGTAATCCAGGTAGAGAAATCAAAAAGAAAAAATAAGTAGGTCCTCTGAATGGGTTCTTCTTTAGTGAAACGTTTCGTCTCTCCTCCAAGACACTTCTTCAGTCTGATGAGTTTCAGGTGAACTGAGCTTTATAAGCTCCACCTCCACATGGTGGAAAATAGAGCCAATCAAGGCACTAACGACCTATTGTTAGTCGATGGCCCTCTTTTGCACATGACTAACTTGTTTGTCCACCATGTGGAGGCAGTGCTTATAAGGCTGAGTTCACCTGAAACTCCTCAGTAGAGATGGGATAAATGGCTCTTTGAAGGGATCCAGATTGCGGGGAGCCGTTGGTTTCATAAAGCCGTTCAAAAGAGCCGTTCGATTTTGAGCGTATTACATCATCACGTAGCTGTACGTAATGACGTAATCCCGCCACGTGGGTTGTAACATGTGTTTGTCAAGCGGAAACCCCCTCCCCCTTTCACCATGAGCTTCGGTATTCCACAACTCTGCCTGTTTTGCGTGAAAAAGCAAAGCGAGAGCGATTTAAGTATGAAAAACTAAAGACTATATGAGGAATAAAAGAAATAAAACTTCAAATGGCTCGTTACTGCCCACGATTCGGCTCCTATCGTTCATTGTAAAGAGCCGTTCAAAAGATTTAGATTGTTCGCTAACGTCACATCTCTAGAGGAGAGATGAAACTTTTCACTAAGAACCCATCCAGAGGACCTACTTATTTTTTCTTTTTTAAAAGTATTTAATTAAGAGACATCCGTTATGGTATAAAAACAATTGTTCAGATAAATTTACCTTGGATTACTGGAGTGACGGGTGTCTGAGGATTCAGACCTTTGCTGTTAACAGTTTTTGTGATGATAAACTTGATCGGAGCAGCTGAGGATGCTGGTGTTTTCTTGGGAATCTGACAACAAATTAAAGAACATCAGGATGTTCATGTGAAACATTTTAACCTGGTATCTGAATTTCAAAAGTTTTACATTTTCTTATAGAGAACTTGACTGAATGTCAAATTTGAACAGTTAACTAATAAGATCATTTTTGCTTATCACTATAAGGCAAAGGTAGGCCATATTTTTACCAGGGTCTGCATGTCTTACCAAAATATCTTTAGAACTACTTCAACGAAATTCTAAAAAAGTAATCATCAGATCAACATTTACAACTTATTAGAGCTTAGGATCAATTTTTGTTATGAGTCAACTTGATTCTAAAAATCTGCCACTGCTGAGCAAACTTAACAAGCACAAAACACAATTAATTTGACTAATTAGTCAAAAGATTTGGTGTGGGAGTAATTACAGTCGCAGCAAATACTCAGCTTAATCGATGATGTTAATTATGTTAATTTGACAGAAATATTTAATATTTAATAAACACTTGCTTTATGAATGCATCTTACTTTCCTGAATGTTTCAGTAACAGCTAGTATCAGTTTTTCTCTACACTGATACAAACATGAGACCAGGTCCTACCAGCTTTGTCCAAATTAGAGATAAATAATTGTTTTTAATGACACACTGCCAATTCATTAACAGTGTTTCCCCTACCACTACACAGCACCCCCCCACCCCACCCCGCCAACGAGACGGCCCGCCCCTCTAAGAATTTCACGGCATGTAGTCATTTTTATTTAAATAAGGCCAGATCAAGTTGAGAGCTATTTTTTGCATCCCTCCATATCCAACTCTCACCAAACTTGGGGAAAAAAGACGGCGCAGAGCGAGGCTGAGCGCTGTGTGTGGTCCTCACAAAGATAGGAAGACGTGTGTGTGATTAGACGCGCAGCTCTGCTTTTAATCACGTTGCACCGATGCGACAGTTTTGTGAGCTACTTTTTCTTTCTTTAAAAGAAAACGCAACAGGTGAAGCCACAGCATGGTTACTACCTTATCAATAATTACTGCCTTTTTTTCTTTCTCTGTGGGTGGGGGTTCAGCTTCACTCAGCTGCAGGTGAACACCTCCCGGGAACGCACACGTTTCCTGGACTAYTTTCCACCGAGGATTACGTCGTATTTTATATTGATTATATTTCTAAAAGCACTTTGCAACATTTCCCCCTGTGTGTTTACGTCACGAGCGCAACAAAACCGCGACGGATCAGCTGACTGTTTTTAAAGCGAGGTGCAGTGAACATGTCCACTTGCAGCGCAGCTTCAACCAGCCCGGGACATAAGAGTTCATACATGTCAACCCCTTCAGACGTTTAACGCGTTTAATGAGCATCAAAAATCTGTAATTTGCGCAAAAAATCAGTATTAATCACACGGATGGAGAAGAGGTACACTGAACGCAGCTGCGGGGGGTGGGGAGGAGGAGGAGGGTCTTTTAAAGACGTGTCTACATTGGACTTTTATTTTTTCTAAAATCACAGAGTTCTCTGAGTCATCTTCAGATGTTTGTAGTTAATCATAATACCTTCTAAATTTAACCAGGTGATTCGATGCCTTTAAATTACACAGTAATTTTACTGGAGAAACTTGTCAGTTTGGTTAAAAAAACAGTAAAAATATTTTTTTTCTGTGCAGAGAACTTCCTCTGCTATAATTTATTTTAAATAAATATATCAAAGCTCCTCAGTTGAAAACACTAAAATGATAGAAAAGATGTTTAAAAACTTCTTTCCTCAGAAAGTCTTCAGTCCTAAGATCACTAAACTGTAACTTTTAATAAGTACACAGTTTACTCCTATTTAAATAAAAATGTTTGACCTGTAAGCAGAAAGCTTATGGATGTTGGTTTTTGATCTCTTTTTAAAAGAAGAGGATGAGGAGAAGAACGAGGATGTTTTCCTCAAGCAGCTCCTAAAACTGTCAACCTGCTGACTGAGAACATTTGTATATATGACACTTTGTATACAGAACAATATAACATACTTATTAAATTATATTTTTATTGAGATATTTTTTGGTCAACCAAAATGTTTTGAGGACAACCAGATTTTGTCAAACCCCTACATGAGAGGTCACGACCACGGTTAAAAAAAATCCTGGGAGAAACTCTGCTGAGTTAAAGTTCTTCTAGAGTTCTAATGATTATTAGAAAGGACCTGATTTGAGGTTTTACTGATAATATTTTATTTAAAACATGTTACAGAAGTCATAAGAAGCAGGTTTATTTTGAATAAACATTACAAACGTGTTCATTCCTACAAAACTGTCAAATATATTTACAAACAACACTAAACTGATTTCAGATTAACATGAAATAAATCA